CTATCATAACAGTCGGCCGAGTGATTTTAATTTTGAATAGGATGTCTACAATAAAGAAGTAAATAATCCACACGAACGTATTGGTACAAAAAGCCAGGAAATCTGAATGTTTTGGACATAAATCTACGAAACTTTCCGAGCACCGCTTCGACGTGTCTTAGAGAAACTGCCGTTTTATAGCCTAAACGTATCTACTCGTCTACCATTTTATGGTTTTAGAAGATATATATTGATCTAAAAGAACATATTATTCTAGAGGCATAATAGAATTGGGGAGGAATAGAATATTGTGTGAAGCCTGTATTTCTTCAAAAACTTATTTATTTATTGCCTAGAGGAAAATGCTTTGAGTAGTATTGGCATTGGCACTTTCCTACAATAACACGACCGTATATAAAGTAACGGGCATATTATTTCAACAAACGCGATACTACTGCATATCATACTACGTAAATGGCGACAGAGGAGCAGAAAGTTAACACAAAGTCGTCTTTAGAGCTCAGTAAATTAGAGACAAAGAAGATTAAACTTCCTAAATAAAGCAAAACGTAAGAGAGTTCGCGCGAAGAATGTTGAAATATTCGTACTGACTACAATGCCATTATGTCGAACGAAACCAAAATGGAAGGGGCGGGATCTGAATTATAACATGATTTGGATTCGGTGAATAATCTTACAACGTATTCTCTTAATGTCTAGGTACCCAGATTGTAATCCCGTAAAGATTTCGCTACCTACGAAGTGAATGTTTGTAGTAAGAATTGTTATTATGCAGATAATTTAGGGAATATTGAGTACCTATTTTCACAATCACGAAGAAGCAAATGACGTCAATGACTTTTAGGTCAGTACAGTATCGCTTGGCTTGCAAGCAATCGCATTACAGTATAATCCAGTTGAAACTCGATTTCGTACAACACTCAAGAAATCATTCGTTTCTGCTGGTCGATTTTCTACAACATTTCTCGATGCATTCAATATCGGTACCACAATAGTTTCGTTCAATAAAAGAATCTTGCTTTTATTTACGTGCTCGACAATACCAGAAGTTTTTAAGTGTTATGGCGATCATTGTTGTGCAAAAAAGAGATTCAGCTTTCTAAGACAGACACTAAGCTTTCACGACGGAAAGATGCGGCCGTATAAAACGAAACTAGAGCATCGTACACTTGAGATGAGTGCACGTAATAGCCAACATTGTCCTTCGGGTGTACGCTTGTCGTTTGCGCCAGGCAAATCTGCAATATTGTTGGCATGTGTACGCAGGGGGCGGGCCACAGACTGCACCAGACTGTGATTTACACGACACTGGCCCCAAAACACCTCTCCCTTTATGGCCAGACATTTCGGGGAACGGCGATTTATTTGTCTGGCTACAGACAGATTGTTATCAACCAGCATTCAAGTTTTATTCACGTCCAAATTGATGTGTGCTTAATGGTTATTTGATGTTACGCGTCAGATATTAGTTAGATTTGATGAAATGAAATTCCTTTCGAACGTCCATAAAAAGTAAATCAACCGTGTAGAGCAAAAGCGTCCGAATTGAAAAGTATTTGAACCGAAGCCCGATTTTTTAAGAACAATGAGAGTGAGTCGTTATCCCGATTTATCGAGCCGAGGTACTGATCTCGCTAAATTGTGCCTTTAACGAATTTAGGAAATAAAATTGACGAAGAACAGCAATTTTTCTGGTAAGGTTTTGGTCTGTGTGGCAATAGATTCTGTAAAAATATTTTAAGATTTGTTTTAATTAAACTACTGCAATTTGCCTAAGTATGTACCGCAATTACCATTAAACATTTCGATCTTATGAGTACGATACAGTAATGTGCAAATTAGGCAGGTAATTACGAATACCGGTACAATGCCTGTCTAGACGAAGCGCTGAACCCAGGCAGCGTTGCCTACGACCGACACTGATTTACATATAGATATTAGGATCATTTGGGATTCTGGAACACATGTAGGAAAATCCTACGAGATTATACCTGTTAAATGTATCCAGAAAATTGTAATTCCGTGGTAACTGAGACGATAAACGCGGTTTGTGTAATCAGCAACACTGGGAACAAAGCCGAACACAGAAATAGCAGCAAATGATAATTATTTTAACCTTGAACGGAATATCTTGATGTGTTCTGAGGTCAGTGAGATGTGTCAATGTGGATCATCACCTTCACCTCAAAATTGTCAAGCAACTTCAATCATTCCGCAATCTACGATCGTGTTTTGATTCCATTTTTTTAACACATGCCATATTTGTGTACAAGTGAGTGCAATTTGGAAACGGAGGTTCGTGTTGGAATCTAAACTGCATTCTGCACATTAGTGGGATATTGCAGCGATACTGGACATTATATTCAGACGCCATTTAACTGATTTACGATAGTCTTTATTAAACGGAATCCCACATTTATGTTCTGATATCATAAGCACAGGGTTTAATGTACTTTTTTATTAGACGACAAAGAAATTAAGTCGGTTTTAAAATGATACCTACAATTTTTATATGGAAATTAAGAGAGATTAGAAAATGTCTGGACTGAACAATGCAGAAATTTTGTTATTGGTAAGATAAAAAAGATTTTCTAAAACGGATTCAGCAATTAGCAGGCAGACAGAAAAAGAATAAGAAGGGTGAAAGGCCGTTAACCCATGAAGCAGTGCAGTACCGGTCGTCATGGCAGCTGGAGATTTAGTGCTTTGGAGTGAGTGGGTATAGCATACGACTAGAATACCGCAGAACTGCGCGGAACTGCGACATTCCGTACCGCGGAACCTAATATTCCTTCATGCTGGATGTTGGTCCAATGTTTGACCAAACAAACGTTGGTCACGATCGTCCAACCCCGTTACAATGACACATCCTATAAGAATGGTACAGTTCAATAACCTGATTCATCACGTACTAATGAACTGACAAGTCCTGCACCAGAAAATATTGTAAATAGATAGGTACCTAATACGAAAGGAACGGTCTTGCCAATCTGCTGTTATTTATGTCGCATTATGGCCCATATTTAAATGGAACACACAGATGTGCGTAGTTAGTTTCAATTGGTACCCACGAGTGTAACATAGCGTTTAATGATTTTATGAGGTTACAATAACGAAAATGTTAACTGCATACATTGTAATTGGTGTTCTACGAAACGTTAGTGAAATAGAGTTAGAAATTAGCATAATAGATGGGTGTAATGGACTGCCTCGTTGATTGAAGCAATTGTAAATTAAAATTTGAGTAATCTATACATCTATTCTATTCTATACATATAATAAAATCGTAGAAAAGTCAGTAAATTGAATATTTTTAAAAAAGAATACTTGAGGCGTGATCTACAATTGATACCGAAGCCAAAAATATGGTTTTTAGAATCTTTATCTATTTGTCTGTATGAATGTATGTCCGGGATGATCTTCAAAAGTACTAAAAAAAAAGTACTAAATTTTGCATGAATATTACTAACAGGTCGGGTCAATATATAGGCTACATATTATTACGCTATCATCTACGGGGGAGGAGGTGCGAATCACTATTCCACGCGAACGAAGTCGCGGGCAAGATCTAGTAATATTCATATCTTAAAAGTAGAAAAATGTAAGTTATATGATGATTGGTGTGATTCCCGGTAAATAAAAGCCGAGGTTATATACTAGGAAATATATATATCCGAAGTATATCCAGACTGTTTTATTGATTTGGTAGAAAGGTTTAGTTGTCTGGGCGAGTACGAGCCATTTGTTTCAGATCTAAACGAGAATCCGTCGTATTGTGCCCTCTCATTAGTGGCTAAGCACTGACCCTGGCCTTATATCCCAAAACCACAGCAATAGTTTCTAAGCACAAGTATTCAATAAATATATCCTCCCAAACTTAACTAAAGTCAGCAAAACTAATTGTACAGAGAACGAAATGAGAATTAACTTAAATAAACTCAGACCTCAGACGCTTCTAAATATTCATAGCGATAATATTCCAGTAGAAAATTAATTTATAACAAAAGATCGTTCAATAACACTTACTTGTTTAAATTAAAGCCGCAATGGACGGCGTTACAGGAACTTTTTTGACCTGAAAAGATAAAGAAAACGGCATTATGTAAATGAGATCTTTTTAGAAATTAACACGAAAATTTATAGCTGCCTTTGAATGGAATTAATCTTGAGGTACCCTTAATTTTAATTTATATTGCGGAGAATGTTCAACATCACGTTCATGAATACTTCAAACTTGTATAGGTACGAGACTGAAGCTTACTTTTAAGAAAAATTTAGATTTGTGAGCGCAAAAATTCTTAATGTCTCCAAGACTTTTAAACTACGTACTCAGGCATACACTTCAGAGAATAATAAATATTGAAGAGGACGTTAATTTGCTCAAGGATTTATTTTACTTTAATATTTCATTTAGCGGGTATTGTCATACAACAAAGGTGCTGTTGGTGTGTTCGCATACAAAACAAACCTTTGTTCAACACAGCAAATAGCATTTAGCGTTCGTCCGTGGCTTTATTACAAGTTTGTTGGACAGTCGACTTCTCGACGCTGCATCCGTTGCCTGCCAACTTTACCCCGGGCTGGCTCAATCCTGACCCACTTATACAATAACTACGCTATGAATAAAATCATTGCAATATAGTTTCTGATAACTATTTGCTTTGCAGGAGCCGAGGTGAAGTTTGCTGGTAACAGATGTTACTCGAATAGAGGCAGTTGAAATTCTTAGAACTACTGCAGAATATTATTTTTCACAGAGTTCTGTTATATGTTATAATTTATTGGTCTCAATATGACCTTTACCGGACACGGGACTGGTTTACTCCATGTTTTGTAGCTGCGACTTTTATGCGCATAACATTATGCGCTTAGTAATCCGCTTTCCAAGCCCGACGATTGTATCAATATTTTCAAGATCGTGGAAAACAATATTTTTTTAGAAGAAAAAAGCAAGTAAGGTAAGTATTTGAAGTAATAATAAATTCTGATCAGGTACTGTTTTAAGTTCTGCTTTCGTCTTTCCGCATAAGGGACAAAGAGAATAAAAATTTAGATTGTATTTTATTATAATAGTCACTTGTAGGAACAGCAAAGGGACTGGCGATGAACTCATTTGTATTCAATTCGATTAAGGATGAATAATAAAGGCGATCCATATAACTTTTATGGTTTATCTCTAATTTAAGCTGGCGTTTGTGAATAATGATGTCATCTAGACGAATAGGGCGAGAATTAGATGCATTGACTATTGTTACACATACTGTGAGCATTTTATAATGTAGTACCAAGTTATGACTACTTATGGTACTGTTCATCCGGTACATACATTTTAATTTAATAAAAACAGACGGGTGTTGTAGAAACTTGACTTGAAATACAATAATAATGCGTGTCCATGTCATAAAAAGCAATTAAATATCACTCATGGCATAAATATATTCAACAACCACAGGGAAAACCATTCAGAACCCGTACAATTAAAGCTTTTATTGCACATCGAAGATTTACAGAGAAATGTTTTCTTTATGAGCTTCAACCACGGAAAGATTAAATATTAATGCCAGCGAAATGCAACGCCGACGTGAAAACAAAAGCTTAATGAAAGTAATACCGTTGGGAAAATATCGGGAGAAAATGCGTACATTATCGGGTGTCATGGACAGGAGGTTGTAACATATTAACATCGTGTGCAGTCGGGTGCAAGTGCAAAACGATTCGAGTGTAACGGGCCGCTTATCGGTCCAACCAGCGCCACCACCAGCTACCATTTAAAACCTCCTCGCATATTCATTCTGAAAACTTTCGCAATTCCCTTTGGTTTGCAGCGGCTCTAAATTTATGTAAAGCGCTTTTAGCTTCCACGTTTACTGTAAACAGCCGTTATATACACTTTTGAACGAGTTAATTGCTATATATTTCATTCCAGTGCTTTCGCTTTAGGCGGTCGAGGTGTGAGGATTTTAACGCTATATTTCTGATGAGTTTAATTCAAGGTGTAATGATTCAGTATGAGCTCATGTCAGTTAGCATGCGTGAATCATTATTTGTATAACCACGTAATGTTGCTCTTTAACTTGTGCTTTCGACACAAGACGGATTATGTTGGAATAATAAACTTCTGTGCGACCTTCAGTTTCCATAGTACCTTATAGTTATTTATAAAATGTACCTACTTGTATCTAACTTGCTTTAGAACCGCCAAAAGCATACTAAAAGGCAATAAAAATGAATTGAGAGAAACAGACGGAACAAGATTAAATTAATTAATACTTTGGGAAGTCCGCGGTTTTCCTCAATATCATTCAAGTACATTGAGGAAAGGTGTATCGAAAACTAATTTATGAATATTAATCTTAAACGATTTATGATTATCGCTAAACTTCAAAGTTCCAACCAAACCCATTCCACCGCTGAACAGGTTTAGGAAGTTTGACAAATAGTCAACAAAGTTGACCGTAGCTTCGATATAACGAAGTGTCAACAAATATTTGATACAATTACAATTTACGAGTGAACCGATAAATCCTTACAGCTTTTTAATTGGCTCGTAAATCGATAGCAGCTGTTACTGAAATAAATATAAGGGCCAATTTAAAAGAAATTGATAATAGGGGTACACAGCCAATATGTGTAAACGATCGTTTAGATTCAGTTTATTGGTACTTCATACTAATTAAGGTATGACTTAATTATTGTCTTGTGCTACTTGCCTACAGGAGTCGAAATTATACGGCTATAATTTCGAATTTTCATTTCGTTTATTGGTGTCATCGAGAAATAAGGGAATAACTGGTTTAACTGTGTGTTACTACCGGTTTTACTTTCGAATAACCTCAACTTTTATGTCATTGGATGTAATATAAGGTTACAGTTTAATGGCACCATATAGGAGGAACTATCAGTTATTTATATCAATGAAGAGAAATGGTAATGTAAATGTTATAAAACAAGTTCAACAGACTGGAGATAATTACAAATGGACGGCCCAAATTAATGTATTACCGATGTATGTTGCGACAGTGTCGAACATCGATATATGACACTACGCAGAGATGGTGCGGTGCCGTGGAGGCAGGGCAGTGATGTCATCCGGGCCGCTGGGCAATTGTCGCCGCGCCACGCCGCTTGCGCAACCTTTGTCAACACTTTTATGGAAATGTGAATTGCCCAGTGCGCTGGTGATAATGATGCAGCATAAACGTTTTTCTATAAAAACTATCTAAATATATGCTTCCGTAGGTTGTTGTTACATTGTAAAAATAGGAGATAGCGATAAAAGAGTATTGGCAGCTAAGAATGAACACGGTAAACATTATTACAACGGTACAGCATGCGTAGCCGCCCACAATACAATACTATTCGAATCACGATTTACGAGTAACGTGAGCTAGAGCAACCAACAAAAAACATAACTGCTTCGTCAGGTCGGTTAGCAGGAGTCTGATCCCTCGCTTATCGGTTCGGTAAAAGGGAAATTGACACCGAAATATATCTCACTGTCAGATAACGTACAATTTATGTGTACAAATATATTGTGAATCTACGCTCAACCGTATATTCGCGTAGCACAAACTTCGCACAAGTTTGATATATGAGATTTTCGTCAATGTCGGCGGCGAACAGTGAACACTAGTTGAAGTAACAAGATCTCGGAGTAAAATTACTTACGTGCGTGCTGATTGTCTGCTTGATTGACAGAATGAGAATGAGCGCGAGGGAAATAAAGCTTCGTTGTAAAATTGAGACAAAGAAATGTTTCAACTGTGTTTTGCTTCGTCTGAAAAAATGATATTGACTAGCTGATATTTGACCCGCTACGCAATATCAAGTTACACCCTAAAATAAAGGAATAACTGTGTAGAGTCATGCTCTATTTATTGCAGCTAAACGTAAAGTTAAACGAACGAAATAAAGGGCGCACAGTGGGAGGGAGTAATTTCCATTATAATAAATGTATCTCAATCAACGAAACTCAATTACATCTGTGCGATTGTACAAGGCCGTTGTCTTTAGATGTAAGTGTAGCTAATCCTGTCTTGCCAGGCGGTCTGTGGGCGAGGCTCCACGCGCCGGTGGTTCCTGGCAAATTAATCGGTGTGACTGAACTGTCATGCACTCGGTTCAAGTCGCGATTCGTCATATGCATGCCACTAACCCGACTGACTGGCCGTACATTATGGTGCTTCGTGCTTCGACCGCCTTCCGCTGCATGCTCAGTTAAAACGTAAACTCGATTCGCTAGGGTAATTATTGTTGATTCTTCTGCCCTTTGATCGTGGGCTTACAGTCGTAGTTAACATTTGAAAGGTTGGTTTATTCGTATCCTTTGTACTTAAATTTAAAAACGAATTAGGTACGGTTTGCAACCTTCAATCCGGACAATGATTACATCGCGAGAAGCTGTGTAACGTTGGGAGAACGTTAAGATACAAGAAACTTCGCAGTAACGAGGGCGAGATAACAAATGTTGTTCTCTCTTGTTCAAGGGGATAAAGTTTTTATTAAATATTCATTGCTTTTGCTCATAATAATTGTTATTGAAGATTTCTTTTATATCTCCTGCAATTTTTTCAATCAGTCTCAACATGTATGTTTGTTAGCTGAACCCGATTTGTGTAATCTGACCATGATAGAAAGTTTAGCTCAATTTGCAGACTTTTACAGTTATCGATTCGAATATGGGTCGCCTAAAATTAGCATGCCTAAATGGGCGCTAGTAAAATTAAACATGTTGAATAAATTGAAAAGAATATCTCTAAGTACGTAGGTAACTACCCGTGTTATTTACTATTGTGTTGGATACCTAACGATTTGCTGCCACTCGGGTTTTATATCATTAAGTCAATGTATGCACTTTCATCATTATTTGTTTGTTTAAGTCCACTGCTAGACAGAGGCCGCTCCAATAGCACGCCACTGAGTTCGATATTTACGTCTTCATATTCAGGCGTGTGTGGATATCGTCAAGAGCTAGACAGTGCATTATAAGCCTACCTAACATGTATCTAGCTTGTCAAATCCCTACAAAACTCCACATATAACTAACCCAAAAGAGACACAGAAAACATATCACGTCTACTATCAAACACAGATATAAAAAAGTACCCATATTGATATAAGTAACAATTAGTTCACAGCGCACGGCAATGTCCGATTAAAACTCATTACTAAGACTATTACTAAAGTGCATAGCGAATGCTATGTCAGTAGATGGTATATAGTACCCGTATATTAGATAATGGTGCTTCCAGTTCACTGGGGTTAATGGGATTACTGCGTGCTATTTTCCATTGTACCATTTCAATGAATAAGTTTACTTAATTAATTTGTATGTTTAGTTTGTATGAGGTTATTGTTGTTTTAAGTACCTAAGTGAGGTACTTGTATTAATGATAGTTGTTTAAGTAAAATACATACGTAATATACTGGTGGACAATGAAATGAGGCCACTTGTTCATGAATGGTTTGAAATACCTATAAACATGTTTTAGCATAACCGATAATATCTAGAGGAGATGTAATGGGTGCTACCGTTTTGATCGCCTTGTCTTAGTATGGACCTGGGTTTAGTGTGGTACGGGTACCTATCGTTCTTCATCCAATAGGGAATTATCTAGAGTCGCTCTCGACTCTTTGACAGCTAAGTACAGTGATTGGGCAAAAACATTTCTTGTTAGATTAGTGATATCACCATCAGGTAAGAAAACAACAGTAGCCTCCATTCTATACTATCTATATTTTTTATTGCGGTAACAAACTTGAAGACTAAGTTATGATTAATTAATTATCAAGTTAAAATGTGTGGTTCAACTCGCACTTGGGGATGACTTAACGTTAAACAATTTGCTTAGCAAAATCCCTAAGCTGATAAGTTAGGTGTCTAATTAAATTCCTTAAGACTTAAGACTCAAGTTCCTTTATCGACTCTACTATGTTTGGTATTATTTTACCAGAAACATTAATTCGATTCAATATTTAGGTAACCTATAACTTGATTACCCATAAATTCCGACAGAAATCATAAATAAACAATACATTATCATTTTAGGAATGGAATTCATGGAATGTACAAATAATATAATTACAGTACAATATTATCAATATAGTGGAATGTAGACAAATAGATTTATTGAAAATTAATTCGCTCACAATAACTAATTTGTGGTGTACAATTATAGTTGGAATCACAACACGCAACAAAATCAACCTTTGATTTAGTCATACTTTATTCGTTCAAGTAAAAAGTTGGAGCTCGCGTGCTCATAACAAAGAATCAGCAATTAATGGACACGAATTAATAAACTGAGATTTATGTATTTGGATAATGACTTACTCGAAGTTATCAGTATAACGAGAGGTGACTGACATACGCCCCTGCGAACGTGGGGGAACAACGCCACTTCTCAGACAGGTAGAGCAATGCCAATTACAAACGAACCGCACGTCTATCAACAATTGAACTGCTAAAATAACCCTTATTGCTCAAGAAATAAAGACAGACAACGACGAAATTTTTCTTTTATTTTTCGTGATTTTTCTTCATGTCCATTGTCAGATTACTGGAGTTAGAATCGTCGGGGGACACGACAATGACGTAAAAGGTTGCCTCTTAGTTTGCTTAAAGGAGAATTTAATTCATGATTCTTCAGAAGCTCGTCAACCCGCTGGGTACAATACTTGTATCTAAACGAAGGTTGTATAAGTTGAGAGTAGTTTGTCTCTAGTCTGCGAACAAGTTGTTCAGGCCCTAAGCCGAGAATTCCACGGCTGCGTAATTAGTATGTTGGCCCCACACACGGCGGCGTCGTAATGCGTTTTATGCTCTAGCTAAATTGCCTCGAGGATAACATGAAAACACGGTAAACGAGACAACCTTATTAATTAAAACTCTTCACAATAATGCGCAAATAAAGCCGTTCTCTCTCTCAAACAGTGTTAAGATCGCGTATTTGTTCTTCGCTTCTGAAATTTCACAGACTGGAATAATTTCTTTGTTAAAAATCAGCATTATAGTGGCTAACGAAACAACCAATTAAAATAATAAACATGGCTCCATTAGACCGCTGTAACGGATGCTGGATGCTGAACTGCTGACGGAGGGAAATGGTTTTGATACCTAACTTCTAAAACTAACGAACAGCTTTCAATATTTAGAACAATGTTATATTAATAATAGCCCATTAAATAGGTACACCGTGGTACACGTACTTACTATACTATTTAGTCATAGATACAAATCTATGCAAATGGCTTTTGACATTAATTAGTCACAATTAGCAAATGGAGACTGTACTTACTCATAGATAAGTAGTGTTTTTGTTTATCAATTAGTGTTGTATTCACGTAGAATGTAAACATAACTGAAGATATATAATATCTATCTAATACTGGATATGAGTAATAACAATGTATGAATCGCCGATTCTGAGCAAAGGCGTGAACTTACTTTTAATCTTTCAGACGTCAGACCGGCTACCGATAAGCGTTTAAATCATCGTGGATAAACATATTGGAGGCGAGGAAATCGTGGAATCCTTTACACCGTGTTTAGACCATGAATAAACAAACAAGGGCACCTGGTCCGTAATAAAAAGTAGGATATGGGAATCGATGCAGAGATGTGAGGTGCGTAGGTACATACTACACACGTACTGCGCTCGCAGCTTCGCAGACCGTGATCTTTGCGGAAACTATCGATTTCATGCCGCGACTGATTGACTTGACGTGACGTCTGCACAAAATACACAAACTCGGCGGAGGGTCAAAACTGTCAGATTTCTTGCGATCGGTTGAATGGGCGTTCCCAATTGAACCGCTTGAGGAAAAAGTGTTTTTTGGGTTTTCATGTATTGGTGTTTCAAGCCCGATATTTTAGCAGTAGTGTGCTATGGCTCGTACTTTTAGAAATTGCTAGTCCAATTTTGCTTTTTCTACATTTTTTTGCACAAAAATGAGTCATACAATAATTTAAGAGCTATTCAATGATTACATTTTTATATAGCAAAAGTAATCACAATTCAGAACTTGCATAATGGAATAACATTTAAAATTTGTTATCATTTGAACAGAGTTTCCTTTCATAGAATATCTATAACTCGGAAAGCCGCCCCTGGCTACGAGAGGATTGTCGAAATTGGATAACACGCTTTGTTGCTTTATGACAAAGGTTCGCTAAATCTCATTCGATTTTTAAACACAGTTTATATTTAAAACAGGCGAGCATCGATCTGTTATTGTTCACCGGTAAAGAATGCTCATAAGTAATCGATAAGTGAAAACGTTCACGAGTCTGTCAAATTTTCAAACTTTTTGCTTAGGCTACATAATGACAACTTGTCACGGTATTCTTAAACACCTATATAATGACGCGTCAATAAAATTAACTGACCGGAACATTCTTGTTGCAGCGAAAGAAAAGGAACTCTATTTGAAATTGAAATGTAATTTTGCTTTAATATCAAATGTCATTGAAGAATGTCGTGTTTGAATTCTTAAGTTTCCTTACTGCATTTTAATTTTATTATTCAAGATTTTGTTCAATTGTCTACTTAGTAAATACAAAGAAACGTAATTAAGACCTCTTTTATTAGAAAAAGAATGAAATCAACTTCTTAATCACAACTTCTTTGGAATTTAAAAATCGTCATGATATCAATCCAATGATTCTGTAGGCTAATAACGATAAACAAAACGCTGTTGAATATTAAACAAGGCATTAAGATGGTGAGGGTGAAAATATTCATCACGTAATTGTTATGAGACTGTAAAATTGAAAAGGGGTTTGGGGATCGGAGCCTCCGAAACATCCTAATGTAATTGGAATGGATTGAATACAGTGCATTTCGGTGAACACGAGCAGATTGCGACCCGATTACAAGTAGATTAGAATGATAATACAGCTGGGAACGTGTTTACGATTTCGAGAAATAGACAATACTTGGATGTTTACGTTGCTAGTGAAGTTTTTCGATAACAATATTGCCTGTTTACGTACCTCTATAGCAGGTGAAACACCGTTTTATTAATTTCTTGTTTATACAATTTAACAATTGAGTGTAACAATCAACAATCTGACAAAAGCCAGAGAATTGCGGGAGGTTGATAGCACGTGCTTGTCCCGCTTGTTTGTTAATCTACAGGAAGGCAGTGCCAAGCAGATTTTCATGAAATTTGGTGGCATTAAACAGGATTAACATAGAGATTACTTTATAATTCACGTGGATAAACTCGGCTAAAGGCTGATCTAGCATAAAAGCAGTATAGAGGTAACAGTTACTTAAGGATTTTGCTTGGAAATCTTGAGCAGAATTTCAGAATAATAAAAATTTGACGGTGTGTAACAGGAATTGTGGCTGAACGTTCGAGTCGTGCGTGACCGAGTTGCGTGCTTTCTGCCAGTCGTCATAGCAACCAACAGTTTCTAACTACTAAGAAATTTGCTAGACGAAGCCGGATGGACTTTGAGAGGACAGTAAACTGCATACAGTACACGTTAAATAGCATGCTCACAAATATCGGAGTTGACTCATTTTGTAATGGTTGAAGTTTCGAAGGAACAAGTAAAATACGATATGCAACCACTGAATGTGACATAATCATGCATAAGAGGTTGCAGGCGTGTCATAATAAATTAAAGATCAAGGGACACGGTAGCAGAGAAGGGCTGTGGATTATTTACTTGCACACGTTCAATATAAGGAATATTAGTTCCTAGACTGGAATTGGAAGATTTACAACGGACGTGGGATATAAATGTTCGAAAAGGAA